GGCCTGCAAGCCCCGGCACGTCGAGGCGGGCGCCGCGGATCCGCAACGGTGCTGGAAGCTGCAGGAATGTCCGCGGGGATGACGGGAGCCTCGGCGTCTCCCGGAACGCTCTGCGTGTTCCAGGGAGCGACGTGAGAAAACGGCCACCCCGCAAAACACCCCGCACTCGCTGGCTGCTTCCCTAACCAGGGCCTCCGCAAATGAACAGTGCTGGAAAAAGGAAATATAAAACTTCAAGTGACTGCTAAGAAACGAGCAAGAAAGCTCCCCAAATCTGCTGCCGGAGGTCTCGTTGCTTTGCCATGTTCTCCCTTGGTTGGAAGGAATGTTGCCCGTAAAGGGCTGCTTTCCAAGTTCTTTAAATTCTGGAGCGGGGATGACACCACTATTAATCCAAATCCTATTTTTTTTTTCACTCTTAAAAGCATTTCTGCATTGTTAATGCCGAGCGTGTAATAGTACAATTTAGTCCCTGTGTGTGCTATTCTGCCAAAATTTGTTCTGCTAAGCTAGTGGCTCCCTTGGGATCACAGAAGAGCTTTTCTTTTCCTTGGGAGCTTTTTGCTCGAGGCATTAACAGAACAGGAAATCAAAAGCAGGTGAATACCCCCAAAGAAGCCCCTGCCCCCTGAATGCAGCTCAAGGAGGTAGCTGAGTGGAAAATGTACATTATTACCCTACCCTAAGCCTTTCCAGAACTTGGAAAAACTTATTTTTCTCACCAAAGACACATTTCCATGCGAATCTGGGAGCTGGTTAATACCTTCTGAAACACTGCGGACTAGCGTCAGCGTTGGCAGGGTTTGTCCTCTCATTTTCAGTGTTGAGAATTGTGATTCAGACACACTTGAGTTCTGTTTTCAGGACCTTTTTCTGCATGAAAGAGGGCTAGAAACTCCTTTTGTTTACCTCCCCCTTTTGTTTTTCTTGCGGCCGCTGCTGTTTGCATGTTCCCACAGGATTTTAAGCGCAGGCCTTCAGTAAATTCACTAAAACACGCGCGGGGGGCAGAGCGTCATGCTTGACAGTGCCTGCTACGAGCTGCGGCTTCCGAAACGCCGCTCAGCATCCCCTTAGGAGCCTTTCGGGAATGATCCCAGGAGCAGAGAGCGGCTCCAGAGCCCCATTCCCACTGCCTGTGGGGAAGCGGAGCCGGGTAAAGATTCTTCAGGGCACAGAGGAAACCAGTCAACACGCAGAGCTTTAAATTACCTCGGTACGCGAGAGAGCAGCTAATAAAACTCTGTCCCACTGAACTTTGCCTTCACCTGGACCCTCATGAGCTATTAAAGCCTTTCTTTACACTCAGTCGTTGTTCCTAGAAGAGCTCAATATTCTTCCAAAATCCCGACCAGAAGAAGGCTGATACTTGTGTTGGGGGGCAAAAACTGTCTTTTATTTTCCCCGCACCCCATGTGCTTTGCTGGCCACTGCATGGACCATCCGATTGGCCTTTGGGGCAGGAAAAGGTACGTTCCTGGCGCGGGGCTGCCCTGACCCCGCTTTGTTTTTATCTCTGCGTGTTGTTCTCTAACCAACAGATACTTCAAGAGCCGAGAGCACATTAAGTGCAAGCCCAACAGGAGCAGGAGCAAAAAACTAACGTGAAAGAAAACTATTGGCACAAAATGGAGGAAAGCGAGGATTCCTGTAAGCTGGTTGACAAAAGGAAGCAAAAAGGAAACAAATTCCCTCCCCATGACTACTTCAGCCATCGGTTTTGCAGAATTTATGGAAGGGAGGAGAAGAGCCGAGTGGGATAAATCCTTTTCTAGGTCACCTCCATTTTTTGATGACATATTGTGCTTAGGTGGGAGGAGATTTGCCCTTAAGACGCACGTCATGACAGCGGTTTCCCCCGAGAGCACAGACAACCCAAGCGTCTCCCTGCCGCACGCTCCGAGCCCCTGGGCGCCGGCAGCGGGAACGCCGCGGATTTGGGAATCCGCCTTTGTTCAGTGCTGCGGAGCACTCGCACCCCTGCAGCTTCCTTGGATCGTGTCTCTCTTCCCAGCCAATCCATCTCGTTTCACCATTGACTTTTTGTTGCTCTTGCAGTGCTTTCACACATCCCCTTCGTCCCCTCTTCTTTACCCACCCTTCGCTTGTGCTTTTGGTGCTCATTTTTTTTCTTGCCCACATCATCACGTTTTTGCTGTGGGAAACACTGACAGCGCAGAGGTCATCCTAGGAAAGACCCGGGACTCGGGGAGGGGTTAATCCCGGCACTTCGCAGCATTAATTTGTTTTATTTCTGGATCGCAACGGGCCCATGGAGGGGACAGCCATGG